AAAAAAATATATATACATATAACTCTGTCGTTTTATAAGGTCATCAGCGTTTTTCGGGGTGTTACAAACTTTGTGGTGAATTTTATTTATCCAGTTGAAGGTATAAAAATGTTGAACAAAAGTAATAATTTACAGCAGTCTTATGYAGCTAACTTCCAAATTTTGGTGTTTTCGACACTGTTTATAATATTATTGAAACCTACTGTGCAATTTTCTATTCTAAAGTGTAGAATTTAATCTCTTTTTTTTCAGAGAAAAGCACCGATATTCGAATTGGCCACGTTGAAACCTATGTTAATGGTATAGCATAGGAGCATTCAACTATGAAACTCTTAAATTTTCATTTGTATGGCGAAAATGTCATGTTAATTCAACATTTTTTAAATAATTTTAAAGAATTTCTATGTAGTCTTAAAATTGGTTGCTAGTAACATGTCCAATGAATAAATGTTGTTGATCARCAAGTTGCTTATACAAATGTTGGAAATTTTTTAAACGATGTTCACCCTGTTCGAAAATTTTAATTACTCACACGCATCCTGTGTTACTTTATAAACAAAATAATTGTTTGTAGCAAAGCAACGAGGAATAAAAATCTTGTTGTCGCTACAGCAACAACAGAAAGAAAAATTGTTATTAACAATAATATTATGATTAAAGACAAACTCTACAATATTTTACATTTTAAATCACTTACAGCAAAAATTCATTTATCGATTTTCCTACCGATAAATCTTTCTCCGACGTAGCATAACCAAACAGCTGACCGCGCTTTTAACACGCTTTTTTGTGGTAAACAGAGCACATTGTAAAAATTTATTTGCTATAAAYTACAAAAAATGGTACGAAAACTAAAATACCATGAGCAGAAATTGCTTAAGAAAGTTGACTTCATCACATGGAAAGTAGATAATGGTGGAAAAGAAACAAAAATCTTACGGCGCTATCACATACGCAAGCCAGCCGATTATACCAAGTGAGTTTCATATTTTTCTTTATATACAATATATTAATGTTTCTTTTTTTCTATTAGATACAACAAGTTATCGCGTGAGATACGCACTCTGTGTGAAAAAATTGCCAATTTAGAGAAGACGGATCCTTTTAAATCCGAAGCTGGTTCAATGTTGCTACAGAAGCTCTATGACATGGGCTTAACGCGCAATACTATGGATTTGTCAGTTGCAAGCACTGTGTCGGCGAGTAGTTTTTGTAGACGTCGTTTGCCGGTGGTAATGGTGAAAAGTAAGTTTTTATTCTTGGAATTATTTAATACAGTTAGTATGGTGGTTAACATTAAGCAAAGAGTGAATGGGACCAGTGGGCAGTTAAAAATGATACGTGTCCAGTCAGCGTCACGAAGTTTGTAACGGCCAAATGGAATATATAATGGAAATTATATATAAATGATCAGCGTGACGAGCTGAGTCAGTTTAGCCATGTCTGTATAAACTGGTCGACCGAAATTTTTGTAGGAAGACTCTGTTTATTTGTTAAGGATATTATAGCTAGCCTATGTTTTTGATTTTTCTTATTTTAAATAAYCTATATCATATGCGGATTGGCGGATCCCTGGAAGATAGTTTTTGGGTGTTAAAACACCCCTAAAATAATAGATATTAATTCAAATTCATAAGAATTTACGAAGAAACACCAATGTTGAAAATGTGTTGGAWGGTAAAACCTTCCTAAGATATGAATTCTGGATCCGTTAGTAGTGATAATAAAAGCAAAAAAATTACATAAATTAAAAATTATCAAAATTAACATACAAAAAAAATATATATATGTAAAAAAAATATCAAAAGCAAATTTTGCGACAGCTTGTATGCCAGTGTTAAAATTGCATTCCTGTTATGTACCAATGTGTGTATGTACAAATGTATGATTTATATATAATTTTTTTTTTAAACAAAAAACCCTAATCATTTTATATTTTTCAAGATCGTCTATCACAAAATCTCAAAAATGCAACAGATCTCATTGAGCAAGGACATATACGTGTGGGCCCTGATATGATTACGGATCCKGCATTTTTAGTAACACGCAATTTGGAAGATTTCGTCACATGGGTGGATAGCTCCAAGATTAAGCAGCACGTGCTGAATTATAACGATGAACGTGATGACTTCGCTTTAGTTTAAATTATTTTATAATTTTTTGTTTAACGAAAGAAACTTGTACGTATCCTTTTAAGTAAATATAAGTCATATGCTATATGATGTGCCTAAAAATGATATGCCTTTGTTTTTTTTAATAAATTCGTATATTTCTTCAAATTACACTATAWAGAAGAATTAGTTAATCCTTCGCATAATTTAAACAATTGGATAACTGCATTCTTCGGCGATGCCACAATAATTGCTACCGCGTGGCAATCTAAAGTAACCCTCTTCTCCCCAACTGCTGTCCCATGAGTTCTTTACAATCCAATAGTCTTTGCCCTTCTCACTGCCATATCCCACAACCAAAACCGCATGATTCACTTCGGCTTTATTGCACTCCTCATCCGCATAGATGCCTTCCTTGTAAAGCAATAACGATTCCGGCGCGTACACAGAACATGCCAACGGTCCCAATGTGGCGACAACTTCTTTCATTGTTTTCTCATCTTTTGGTTTGACCACCGCGAAACCTTTTACTTCGGCTACCTTATTTCCGGCTTTATAATTACAAGTATCCTTTTGATTAGCATATGGATACGAGGCGCTGTCTTGCAAACCCTTTTGCTCATCCTTAATAAAGGCGAACGCATACTCCTGATAACCGCCATCACAACCGTTTAGACCGAAATCAACTGGACCGCAATCGATTAGATTTTGCTCGGAAAGATTTGGCAATTTCTTAGTGCTACGGAATACGTGACCTTCAATGGCGCCGGTGGTAGCGAAGGCCCARCACGAGCCGCATTTATCCTGGAATTTCACCGGTGTAACACCGCCTTTAGTGCGCCAATCGAAGGCGTTTGGCACTCTGGTGGTGGGCGGTTTGGCTTCCTGACGATCTGCGCTGGCCTTTGCTCTAAAAATATGTAAAATATTTTTATTACAGTTTTGGAGACTTATRTGCTGCATTCGTTTACTCACTCGCCACTAGCTGATTTGGAGATACCGCAGAAGAATTTCAAGAACTCTGCGCTAGTTATGTCGGCAAACTTGTTCAACGCCAATGTATAACCCTTCTTGGCGGTATTGGTCAAGGCCACCAAATTTTTATTTGCATTAAATTGTGCTTCACGTAATTGCTTCTCAGCAGCATCCAAATAGCTTTTGCCGGTTTTTATCTGTATTAAGTGAGAGGGAGGGAGCAAAAGAGATTTAAATATGAAAACTAGTAGTTTTGTGTTTTTTTTAATTCTTTGTGATTTYTATATAATAGTTATAACCAATATAAGCCGAATTAATCATTAAAGGCAAATAAATATTTAAAAGAACTTAAATTTTTTTAAGTTTTTTATTTTTATTCTTTTCA